TAACCCAAAGCACAGCAGCATCTAGGTTGTTCTGCAGTGTAGCACTATGTAACACTGCAGAACAGTTTTTATATATTGAAAGTCGTACCTCATTCATTAGTGAACCAACAAAAATCAGTTTTCTCTGTCGATCGATAGCTAGAGCTGAAGGTGACGAAAGACCCGATTCGTGAAGTGTGACTTTTCGACCATCAAAGAAGTAAAGTGCGCCAAAACTGCTCTAAAGTCATAAATAACTCAACGATCAATGGAATAGGTTGGAGGTAGTGCGTACCTGCATGAGGAGCTCAGCCGTTTGCAGTTTGCCTTTCCCCATGTAGGCCAGATTACTGACGAAAAAGCGATCCGCTCCAACAACCACAACATCGTATAAGCTGCAATCACTGCGACATTTGATGTCAAAAAAAAATATCGGTAAAATATATCCGATTATTCCAACCTTGCTTAGCTTATATTTGAGATGGTAAAATATATCCGATTTTTGCAACCTTGTAGCTTATATCTGATTCAGATCCTTTGACGCTGCCGGCAAGCAGTCATGAAAACCGCTTGAGATGTTTGTAAAAAGAAATAAAGTATGATAAACGGGAGAAGCCCGCTTATAATTTTTATATGTCTCATTTCACGAGCGCAGGTGAATCACATCTTCCTAATTTCAACCCGGTTCCTCCCGCAATTGCCTATGACAAAATGTGCAAGACTCGTTTCAATGGCAAACAAGGATTTTGCCAAAAATCAGCTATGTTGGTTGCGAAAAATAGATCTAGGTGACGCAAAGTATGCCCCTTTGGGGAGAAAATCTGCTCGAAATTTTGAAAATTCGGCTTTGTCAGACTGTCAGTCAGACTTATACTGAGCTTTATTTGTTACTCTTATGCGACGAAATAGTCTCACGCGAGTGGTGCGTGAACTTCAACTAAGCGTATTTTTTGGATAGAATGATGCTTTATCCTACCAGAATATTGTTTGACACCCATGTCAGCCTCGACCTCTTCCTACAGTTTCATATAAACCAAGATAAAGAGATT